TATTCTTTTTGAAATTATCTTAGAACTATCTGCAGGATTCACTAGAAATTATTCGCTAAATTTTCATGAAATCATCCCCAGAAATCTTTTCTTTTAGAACTGTCCTCAGAATTCAATACCCTTGAGGTTCTTCTCGGAAGTCAAGTTTAAGTTGTCTGTCCATTCACCAAAACGTTGTAGTTTTTCTACCAGAAATGTTCAATGAAGCTTGCCCCTTCATTCATCAGAACTGTGCAATTTTTACATCAGGAATTTTCAATTCAGCTTGCCCCTCCATGCAGCAGATTAATGCACATCTTACACCAGAAATTTTCAATACAAACTTGCCCCCATAAAACTTCAACTGATCAGAACGATGCAAATTTTCCACCGTTAATGTTCAATGAAAACTGCTTCTCCAATCTTCTGATTAGTGCAGATTTCCTTTTTCCATTTTCCACCCGACATTTTCAATATAGCTTGCTTCTCCTATCATCAGAATGTTGCAAGTTTTCCACCAAATAAAGCTTGCCCCTATTTTCATATTTTGAGAAAGTTCAGTAAATCAGCTTCCCTCCAATCATCAGAATGGTGCAAATTTTACACCAGAAATTATTATTAAAGTTTGTGTCTCTACTCAGCAGAAGGATGCAAATTTAAGACCAACATTTTTCCGAAAAGCTTGCCCATCCGTTCATCAGAACGGTGCAGATTTTCCACCAGAAATTTTCAATAAAACATGCTCCATTTTTAATAAAGCTTGTGCCTTCATTTACCAGTGCAAGTTTTCCACCATAAATCTTCTGCTCATTTCATTTATCACGGCGATGCAAATTTTGCACCAGAAATTTTCAATAAAACATGCTCCTCCATTCACCAGAACGGTGCACCAAAAATTGTCAGTGAATGCACCATTGTGTGCAATTTTCAGGCTTTGCCTCTTCATGCAGAATGGGGCAAATTTTCCACCATAAATTTTCAATGAAGCTTGCATTCATCAGAACGATGCAAATTATGCACCAGTAAAATGAATAAACCTTGCTTCTACATTCACCACAGTGTTGCGAACTTTCCACCAGAAATTTTTAGTTAAATTTAGTCAGAGTTATTCATTTTGATAAGTCCCTCCATGCACACGCTTGATGATATATTTACACCAAAAATATTCAATAAAAAGCTTTTTCTTCGATTTACCACCACGAAGGTGAATTTTATGAATCTTAAATTTACCCTCTTCTTTTAGCCCTCCATGAACCACATTGAAAAAAAAAAAGAATTACACTGTGGTGCAATTTTTTGACCAAAAATTTACATTGAAGTTTGTCCCTTCATGCACCTTTGTAAAACAATTTTCAGGCACCATCTCAAAGGAATTGACGCAGTGTTTTCAGTGCCCTTATATTATGAAATGAAGTTATTTTTCCTTCAAATCAAGTTATCAAGGAATCAAGTTGTTTTATATCATAATTTTGTAAATGTGGGAATAAAAATCTTATTTATAAAAGGAGGGGCAATTGCCCCCACCTTGCCCCACCCTGTGCACGCCAGTGCTCACATCACTGAAGACATGGTGATAGCCGCAACACGCAAAATGAAGAACTCAGTCGCCGCTGGTCCTGACGGAATTCCCTCGTCAGTTTTAAAACGATGTGCAGTCAACCTCTGCCTTCCACTTGCGCGACTTTTTAATTTCTCGGCACAGCAAAGTGAATTCCCCTCCCGCTGGAAGCTTTCCTATCTGTTTCCAATTCACAAAAAGGAGACAAACGGAATATCGCTAATTATCGTGGGATTTCCGCTATGTGCGCCTGCTCTAAACTTTTCGAGATTATTGTAAATGATGGTCTGTTTGTGTGCTGTAAAATTTATATCGATACGGACCAACATGGTTTTTACCCCAAGCGATCGGTGCAATTTACCTCTGACTGTCTGCGAAGCTTGGATGCTGGATGGCAAGTTGATGCTGCATACATGGACTTAAAAGCCGCTTTTGACAGGGTGGATCATGAAATCCTGCTTGCTAAGTTGGAGATACTAGGTGTCTCGTCTACGGCTGTGAAATGGTTAAGATCGTACTTAGTGAATCGCTCTGTACGAGTCAAGATTGGCGCGACGGAATGTTTTCCAATACACAACCTACAGTTTATTCAATTAAATTGTCAAAATCTGCGTTTTTGCGACATCGCTCATCTTACCCCTCCGCATGGCGAACTTGCCCTCACTTCCTTGCGACACTGAAAATGTATTCCTAACCCTGGAGAGAGTAGAGAACCAAGCATCGAGATCAAATGTCAAATCTGCATCTGACTTCTATATGAGGAGATTTGTAATTGTAATTGTAATTGTTCAGTGCATAGGCTGTGCCTTCCGCTAAGAAGGCTTATCTAGGGACCAACCCCCTAGTCTATACACCTACTGTCCTTCCCGTTGCACTTGTCAGCTCGTGCGATACTCTAGACACACATGGGTGGTCGTATCCGGGTCCTCCCCTGGGTAGGCTCGTGTCCGTCCAGGTTCTGGTACATTAACTTATCTATATGCATGGTAATTATACTTTTAAAGCTCACCTTTTGATTATAATGTCAAAAATGCTGAAACTAAATAAAGGTTAGCGATCCATATAAGGTGTGTGCTGCGACGGAGTAGTAATTGAAGGAAATGAGGTTCTGATGTGAAGTATAGGTAATTCTAAAATAGGTAAATCAATTAATCATTAGCTGCTAACAGTTACTAATAAATGGGTACGATAAATCACTCATCAATGAGTATTGCCACTCCCACTGAAAAATAGGCAAAACCTTAATCATAAATGGATATTCGATTCCTACCGTGTATTTAAAGTAAAGTTAGGATCTTATCAAGCAAGCACACACCTTTTACGATTCTTATCCTACTTACGGTTTCCTGCACATACGACTTTTCCTAGATACAAGCTTCGTCCAGTATACATTGGCTGTCTCCAACCGGCATGATCCTTTCTGTCTGCTTCCTCTTGCCGGTGCAAGTTTAATTCTTCTTTTCTTGTTCGAATTTTCTTTTTCTCCTATTGATCTTCTGGTCGTGTTCCCATTTGTCCTCAGGCAGTTAATATTAGTACATGATAGGAAGAAAGAAAGAAATAGAACAAGTTAAGTGTGAGCCGCATGCATTGGTTACTTATTTGGGTCATGGTGTTGTCTTCCCTATTTATTTGCCTCTATTCGCTCTCATATCGCAACGTTTAACTTTGGATCAACAATAGAAAAGGGCCCATCAGCACTCGTAAACAAACCGCTCCAAAGCCCCCCACTCACAAAGCGAAGGCCACCCACGCAAACCAACACCATCATCGGATAGGGGAAACTTCCACCTACACGAAGATGGTGTTGGCCTGCGTGAGCAGCCCCCGATCTGTGAGGAATGGGCTTTGGACGGTCTGCCCACAAATGCCGATGGGCCCCCCTCCACTGTTGATCCAGAACTCACCCCCTTCCCTCACACTATTATGGTCGGAAAAGAGAACCCATATTTAGTAATCTATCGCGAACTGCGATGCAGAAGATATTAATAGCAAACTAATCTGGAACTGGTCTAAGACATATGACCCAGTGAGTATTGACACCTCACACTGTTGTGAATGAGCACGGACGCGAGATTTACTAGAGTATTAAATGCAAAACGCAAATTCAAAATAAAACTTGACAAGTCATCGTCAATCCCCTTATTCTTGGGCAGGGTCTGACGATGTGAATCTGATTTTGATCAGTGAACGGGCCCCATATGGTACATTTTCTCACTATGAACATGTCATTTCCAGCCTATCTGAACTATTTAATAAATGGAAACCATAACATGGGTTACGCTTCCCCTAAGCGGGCCCTCCGCATCCTATCTCTGTCTTATCTCAAATGCCAATGGTTTGAATGTATCAATATAAACATTGGAAATGACGTACAATCAAATAAACCCATACCCCACTCACTTGGCCAGGCTTCAGAATCGTCCAGTGGGCAGTGCGCTCTACACTCCAAGTTCCCTTTCTTTCAAATTCACCCTAAATTTGATATTTTACCCCTTTGAGTGTTGATTAATCACAATGAAACATTGTGACAGAGCACGGACTTGAGGTTACTAGAGTATTAAATAATCGCGATCAAATGTCAAATCTGCATCTGACTTCTATATGAGGAGATTTGTGCCTCTAAAATGCGAAGTATCGTTAAACCTTGTCCTTAATATGACCCCATGACTCTTAGGCTGTGAACCATTTGCCGAGTTAAATTTAACTCGTGGTTAAAAGTGACATTTCGAAAGTTATTTTCTATGTTCGAAAATCCCTGTGCTGTCGATCGACCGGTTTTCGAGCCACGGTTGTCAAAATTTAACTTCTTGTCTGTCAGAAATAACCATGCTCGGATAGCAGGGTTAATCGATAACTTTCCATCTGTCAAATTTTAACCAAAAGTTAAAATAATCCACCAAATGGTTCAGAGCCTTAATATGACCACACGATAGAAACGTAACCAGCGGTTGAAACAGTTGACGTTTTTTACTACACTCGCTTCGTTGTCGTCCGCGACAGTCTGTTTGTATTCGAACACTCATGCTCTACCGTCGTCTCTCTCACACAACACGAGCGGTAGAATAACATTCGAGCTAAAAGAAAATTATCAAAATAGCTATCATATGACATGTGTGATTTCGTTGAAATTCCTCAATTTGGTGTAAATCAAACCATTCTGATCAGAAATATTATTACTAGGACATCATTGCTTGCTATTTTCAGAATTCACACAAGCACACCATCACCAGCTCTTATTATGAGAAAAACTAAAATACATACATTCGTGACGGTCTTCGGCGACAGTGTCGTATGACAGAGCCTGTCATACGACATTTTAGTTTGGTACTGTACTATGATAGCTTGTTTTGCAAGTGTCGGAGACAAAGGCAGTCAATTATCACAGAAAATGTGTCGACTACCGTGACCGCTTGCAAGACTGAACGTAACTGATGCAAACCCCCCTTCTCTTCTTCCGCAGATGGCCCAAAGCGACGACCTGGACAACGACATCGACGAGCTGTTGCACGATTTCGAGGGCAAATGTCAACGTAGCGTTCTGCACTGCGTACTGTTTTACTAATCTCGGACCAAGTTCGGGCGAGTCTTTTCGTTAAGTCCAAACAAAACAAAAAACAACTAGTACATCATAAGAATCTTTAAGAAACCGATAAAAAAAAAGCAAGCAGCAACTATTTCTAGCTTTGGAAATCCTTTACTTCCTTTCGTTCTTTCCAAATACGGTCTAATTTGGTTCGAAGAAAATTATACACAAATAATAATGGGGTTAAACACAAGCTGGAATGTGCCACCACGGAACCGAGAGCGAGTCCAAGCAAAATAGTGAAACACGAAACAATAACCAAGTTCTGAAGGAAGACGAAGGCGATTTTGTTTTTATCCAATTTAACCTGAAGATAATTAATAGGAACAAACGCTACTAACAAATTTAAACACACGAGGGAACCGTATTTCACTTATACAACTGCAGAAAAGGATACAAACAAACACACATAGGTGATTTACTCTGTAAGAAGCTATATTACGATGCATATTTATATTGAATAAAAAAAAAGACGTGTAATTTCCTCTTTTGTACAACAATAAAGTTACAGAACAGTTAGCGGCGTATGATTCCCCCTCTTACCTCGTAAACCTTTAATTGTTTAGTGTTGATCCAGATGGACATACTTTCGTCGAAGTTTCTCCTTCTTCTCCCGCTTCTGATGCTTCCACGGTTTGCCGGCAATGGTGACACCGGCTTCCTGCGGATTCGCCGCCCCCGGAGCACCCATGGGTAGCCGGACATTCGGAAAATCGCTACGCCCCTTGACGAATCCCGTGGCCGAACGAACTTCGAAGAACTGCGCATCGACGTCCTTGCCGGTGGTGGTTCCCATCTGATCAAGTAAATGTTTGTCACAATCGTGGTTTATTTAAAAATCAAGCGTTTATAAACATTACCTTCATAGCCCTCTGCTGTCTCGGCGGAAGCAGCTTGACGTCGACTTCCTCCTTTTGCCGTGCTTGGAATTTGTGGAATTCGCTCTGTTCCTCGCTTGGTGGAGCGTGACAGTATAGCAGTTTACCATTGACAAAGTCCTTAAGGACGTATCGGGAACCTCGTGACTGATCCGGTTGTCCGTTGGCCGTCATGTAGCCCCGATTGTAGGCAAATGCAAGCAATAATTCTTCGGCGTACGGAGGCCGATTTGGATCTTCTGCCTCCAGCGGCTTGGTGATCATGATTCCGTAGGTATCTTCCAGAACGTGTCGCGGGATTAGGGTGCACAGTCGATTTACCGGTGGAACGTGGTCTCGCATCTGGTCGATCGGGAGGATGCCATTCAGAATCATGTCCGCTTTAGTGGTGCAGAAGCTGGGCATCACCAAACCCGGGCAATCGCAGAACATCAGCTCGCTGTCGACGTAAAGTGTTTGGAAATGCTTGGTCTTGCCGGGGGTGGCCGAAACGGATACTTTCTTCTCGAGAAAAACCGCGTTGATGGTACTACTTTTACCCACGTTTGGATATCCTACCAAGCCAACCGTCACTAACCCTTCGGTGACACGTTCCTCTGTGTGAAGACTTTTGAAAAGGGCAATCAGCTCCGTATTTGTGAGGATGTTAGGATTGTTTCGTATCTTCGTACCGGATGCTGAACTCTGCAAAAGAAACTAATAATCAACCACTTCAACCCCCAAATCAACAACATCTCCAACATACCGCGCTGCCTTCATCCATCAATTCCTCAATCTTCTCCTCCAGTTTTTCCAGAACCTCCTCCGCCTTATCAACTTTCACCTCCAAATCCTTCAACTTCCCAGCCAGCTCCTCATCTTCTTCCTCATCCTCATCCCCTTCGGTTTCCCGTTCCTCTTGCTCCCGCTTTGCCTCCTCCACCGACTCTGCCGCCGAGAAAAAAGCAACCCGCATATTCTGCTCATCAAAATACTTGGCCCAGGCCGTGCGCTGTTCCTCATTCAGAAAATCCGACTTGTTGATCAAAATCAAATTCTGCTTCTTCTCGTCCACCTCCTTCACGTACCGTTCCAAGTCTTCGCTCCGGAACAGCAGCGGATGCCGCCCGTCAACAATCTGAACCACAATATCCGAACGCTCCACCACACGCCACAGTTGCCGCCAGAAATCCAAATTCCTCTCATAAGGGGTCATCAGCATTCCATCCTCCTCCTGAAGCGCGGCCAACCCGCGTCTCCATTCCAGAAAGTTTTCATTCTCCATCGTTTGCAGTTCCTCCGCTGTTGTATCTTTGGTCCACTTGGGCCTCCTCGGAATCTTCAGCAGGCTCTTCTTGTCCACCTGTTTCCGCTCGATGGCCACCCTTTCGTTCGTTGTCAACAAACCGACTTTCGACTTCGGATTAACGTAGGTAATGTTGAGCTTTTCCGCTTGGAATTCCGTTCCAGCCAGTTCTGCAGTTCGGAGAAAATCCTGGAAGGAGGATTCCTCCGTGACGGATTGCAGATTCAAACGACCCCAGTCATACCCATCCTGAACTTCTGTTGTATGCAGCTGAAAGCAAAAATCTCCGATCAATCAAATAAGCCCCTGAAGAATCACCATCTACAAACACTCACCATGCTATTATTATCGACAGTCTTCCGATTGCCCTGGCCAAAGCGGTCCTTGATCAGGGAACGACCCAACTGATTGGCTTTCTTTTTGCCCATTTTCCCCGTTCAGTCACTCACACGAAAACGTAAACACGTGCTTCGGGCAGTACCGAGCCAGTCAAAATCGGGTTTTCACAGCAAAAAAGCAACGGAACAACGCTGATTTTTACACCATTCGATAGTTTAAATCCTTGGGTACAGTTTTTGCAACCTTGTAACAGGATTTTCGGAAGATTTTGTCTATAAAATTTACAAAACTTATTTTACAGGCGTAAGTTCCGCCCGCGATGCGAGAATCAAAACAAACCTTTTCGGACGGATTGTCAAGGCAAGGACTTTCAAAAGGAAGGTGTTTTTCGATGTTGTACTAAAAAATGTACACTGTAACCGGTAAGTACCCGTTAATGGGTGAAAAAATATACCCATTTTTTACAGAGTCAATGTTATAACAATACAATGACATTTATATAAGGTCTGGGCCAACAGGCAGCTTGCTGGTGTTAGAATCAAAAATGTTGTAAACATTGCTGAACATCTGCGAACAGATAGATATACGTCACTGTCAACATACTGAGAACAGATAGAAATACGTCACTGCCAACAGCTGTTTCGGGTAAAAAGATAAACATTGCAATACAATACGAACACCATTAAACATTTGCACATTTCACTAATACCAATAAGCTCTTTGGCCCAGACCTTATATAAACGTCATTGATAACAATAGACTTCTCTGACGTTTGTAAAATGCACAAGTATTAGTGCGGAAGTCGGGGTAAATTATAAGTATTAGTGCAAGAAAACCTTTGAAATTACCCAAAGTTCTGCACTAATACTTGTGTAATTCACAAGCGTCAGAGAATTGATTGATTGATTGATTTATATTTATTAGGGAGGCTTTCAGCCTGGGGCTGGTTCGCCTCCAAGCAAACGTCAGAGAAGTCTATACCCCGTACAGACTATCCCGGAAAAAAATAACCATACGATTACCATAAAATAAAATACAATCACTACATAATTCATTGCCAACAATCGATCCTATTGTACGTATATCATACAAGTAAATTTAAAATATTGTTATTACAATAGAGCTACAATACGTCCCATGTAGTATGAATTTTCAACAATAGAAAAACAATAAAATTAATGGTAATTGACTCATGATTGTTCGGGAAAAAGTGATTTTTATTACGGTTAAGATACATAACAACCCCCTTGTTCTATTGTAGATTTCTCCATTTACCATAGATTCTATTGTGGAACAATTAATTGGGTTGTTTAACTTCGAAAAATACACGAATTTTTATACATCATCTGATGGAGATTCGTTTTCTGAGCACAACGATATTTTTATCGATCCCGTAGACATTCATCTCGATTTTTAAATAAAGATTTAAATGTTTGATCCTTGACACTAAATCTATTCGTTGACAGATCGCTCCCATACAAAGTCCCACCAAGGGGCGCTAAGATGGTGATTTTTGCTAATGTAACCGTACTTATTTAAAATAGTTCCAGAGTACCAACATTTTTGGATTTCGGTTCCATTTTGAATGCAGATAACGAATATGTATTTACTTCAATACCCCTAAACAACCCAATTCTATGGTTATTTTAACGTTGTGGACAATACGATTTACTGTTAATACAATAAATTGTATTGTATGGTTACAATACATTTCATTGATTGATTGATTTATCTTTATTAGGGAGGCTTTCAGCCTGGGGCTGGTTCGCCTCCAATCATACATTTCATTGTACTTCTATGGTTCTTTTTTTACGGGATGGCTTATATCGAGGGGTTTCTACCAAATTTGTGAGGTAATCGGTAATCAAAAATTACCACAAATTATTAAAATAATTAGTGAATTTGGAATTACTCAGTAATTTCAATGTAATAAAAACAATTGTGGGTAATTTCAGTAATTCCTACTGCTTGGAAAATTATTTGGTAATTTTAAAGATAATTAAACAGTAATTCGAGTAATTCCATAAATATTTGTACTCTGGATTTATCATAATCTTTATTATTCTATGAAAATTTTATGATTTTAGTTGTTTCAGGTATATTTTATTATCAGGGGGTGAGTCACTCTGCCACCTTGTGTCTGTGCTTATTGTGTTTCATGCGTGTTTTTGGGTGTCGGAAGGTGTTTCTGGGTGTTTCGTCGTGTAGATCGAGCTGTCAAAACTTCAACCGAAAAAATAAATTTAATGGCAACCATATCCTCAACCATAACAACATAACGCTGGTAATGACAGATCCTCCTGCGACTCCTTTGCTGTTGTTTGTGTGCAGATTAATCCTTGAAAGGAGCATAGGCCCTCTCATTGGAGGAGGAAGACGAAATGGGCGACTAACCTGGCGCCTAATATGTATAGATATTCACCCCAAGGGGTTGGTCACTCTACAAAGTGTGCCAAAATCAAACTTGGGCACCCCTGGGCGTCGTCATTGACGCTGTTTGGCACCAATGGTTACAATTTTTATGATATTTAAAGTTACTGGCAACACTGAACTTTTTCTGCGCTTCAGTGTGCATGTGTCAAAATGTGTTATTGATGTTGCCATAATATAATCAAATTATTTTCAAAACAACCGTGAATCTCCACCAAGTCTCGCCATGGATTCTCAAAATCGTTACACCCGTGACGGCAGTCGCATCCACATTTCCTCCCAGACGAAGAACAGATGACAGCGGTATCTTGACCTGACCGAGGTTTCCGGCCATGGCTAAACGAACTAGCGATGCAGCTCTCACGGCTGCGGCTGCTTCCAAATCTGCTGCTGGTCCGTCTTTTATTTTTAATGAATTTTAGAGGAGACGGACCAGCAGAAGGAACAGCAGCAGCAGCAACTAAAGTAGAAGCAGCCGCAGCCGTGGGAGCTGAATCGCTAATTCGTGTAGCCGTGGCCGACGCTGGAAATCTCGGGCCGGTCACGACAAGCGGTGCTTGAGTTTTAATCGGAAATTCAACCAAACAAAAACTATACCATCCGACCATTCGAACTGCTCGAATACATCCATCGCCACCGCTACTACATCACCAGCACTTCATGATGGCGTTCACCGCCAGGGCTGCGCTCGGGAACTCCACACGAAACGAAAATCAATTATTTCATTCATGTGTTTCACTTATACATTTTTGCCAAACATCAGCCTTATACATTCCATAAGACAAACCATATAGGTCCTATAAGAATTCATAAAAGGTATGTGTGACCGCTTATACATTTCATTTGACACATGATCTTCATAAACTTTTTGCAAGGCGTCTGCTTATTAGTTGACTTATACATTTTATGAATAATCAGCAATAGAAATTTGCCAAAAGGTATAAGGAGATTTCTATCCGTGCACCAATCCGGAGGAGAAAATTTCCGATATCAGCGGGAACATTCGCACTTGCGACGAGTGGCAGTCCTTGATGGTGAATGCAATCAGCAGCAGATCCTCGGACGGCATACGGATGGGGTATTGAAGAAGTGGAGAATGCGATTTTTGCTGGCCTGGGAAGTGATTGTTCTTGGAGGAATGAATGGACTCATTTTTCCGTGTACTTAATATCAGCACCTAAGTTTGCCCCTGGAAATAATGATTTAGTACAAAAAGTCGTTGTCAAAAACAGAACACTGATGCACGGTTGTTTTGTTGTTGCAAATTTTGTTTACGCTCATCCGCATGGTGCAATCGGTGGCTCTTCTCCGTTTAATCTCGTTTTCTTGCGAATAATTTGGCATAAAATCGGAAAATTATACTTCATTATTCACCATCGACGGTGAAATCATCTTCAACAGAGCAGTCGTCATCATGTGGCCCGAAGTGCAGGTTGCCAAAGAGGAAAACCGCCGGGAGCTGGTCCTTTCCGGTGCCGCTGCTCGGAAACGTTTCGCAGAAACCGGTGGTAATCTGGACGAGACCATCTACCAGCTGAGTGCTCTCAATCTGCTGAACATCAACGATACTCCGCTGGAGGAGATTTCGTCCGAGATCGGCAATCTGGAGCATCTGCAGTCGTTGCTTCTGTTTCGGAACAAAATCAGCTCAATTCCGGTGGAAGTTTGTCAACTTGCCACTCTGAAGGTGTTGGATTTATCCGGAAATCTGATCGAATCGCTGCCAAGCGAGCTTGGCCAGTTGAAGGCACTGACGACGATTAATCTCTCGAGAAATAAACTGAAGCAGGTGGACCTCGGTCGGCTGGAGTGGTTGGCGATGTGCAACTTGTCTTCTAACCAGCTGGAGGATTTCCCGGTGCTACCGTGCGGAAAAGATGCGCAACATTTGTATGAGGTAAATTTTCAAGTTGCACTTGAAGTTTTGGCTTATTAATTTTTGTTACCACATAATTCCAGCTTAATTTGGAGAAGAACCAGATCAAGGAAATACCGGCTAGTTTGGTGAACCAAGGAAGTCTGAAGACGTTGAATGTGGCCGAAAATAGCATCGAATTAGTTCCACAGTTTTTGGTCAAATGTGTCAAGTTGAAGGGTGAGACATGAGTTTGCATTATTTGAATCTTAAAATAACTTCTGTTCTGTTTTAGAAATCAATCTCAAGGATAATCCATTAAAGGACAAGCGTCTGAAGAAGCTCGTGGAACAATGCCGCAGCAAGCAGGTGCTGGATTACGTCGAAAAGAACGGTTACGTTGCCCCGAAGTCGGCTGTCAAGGCCAGCGAGAAAACTTCGCTTTCTGAATCCGAATCGGTACCGGAGGAGGTTGATGTTCGTCAGAAAATCACCATTGTCAAAGCATCGGACGATGCCAAGAAAGTCAGCTTCACGCCGGAAGCAAAATCGCTTCGACCGTATGCGCTCCATTGCATCGTGCGGGACTTTAACGTTGGCAACATGAAGAAATTTCTTCAGCTGCAGAACGATCTACATGACAACGAATGCGGCAAGCGAGAGTTTGCGACCATTGCGACCCATGATCTAGCGAAAATCAAAGGGAACATCCGCTATCGAGCGGATCTATCCGAACTAATTCAAATAACTCCACTCGGCGGTAAAGCCAAGGTGACGGCAGCTAAATATTACGACGAATTGAAGCAACACGCGGAAATGATTCGTAAGGAAAAGAAAAGGAGCACCTACTCCGGAATCTACAAGTTCATCAACCTGCTCGAAGGTAAAGTGTTCGTCTTCTTTGACGACGAAGAGAAGATAATCAGCCTTCCTCCGCTGACGAACTGTGATGAGACGAAGATTACACCGGAGACCAAGCATATGCTGCTGGAGGTGACCAGCTCGATTGGCTTTGAGGTCTGCCACAAGGTGATGTCGGCGCTGATTAAAAAGATGCTGCTGATGAATGTGCAGGTCAGCCGGGCCCATCCGGAGGGAAAGAAGAAGTCCAAGGCCAAAGGAGCGCCGATCGTGACGTATGACAAATCGGTGGAGATGTTCGTCGAGCAAGTTCGGTTCTACGATGCGGAAGGCACTTTCCACTCGGTCTATCCAGGAAAAGGGGATCTGGTGTTCCCCGAGGAGGAGAAGATCGACGTCGAGTTCAAGTGAGCCGTTCAATTTCGGAGGGGTCGGAGCGTTTCTTATACCTGATGTTTTCTACTGCTGTGTTATGTTTTACTGATTGAATTTAATTTTTTTGCAAACAGAAATGTTAATCATCCAAAGCCATGAAGTATCAATATACAATTAAACAGTTGTAACGACGATGCATAAGATGCTACATGAATAACGGTAACAGACAGCTGGAATTGATTGTTCTGTTGCATATCACATCCTGAATACAAGATTGATCGATTTATGCTAATGTCTATGGAGTACATAGGGGACGACGGGGTAAGACGGCCACCCTAAGCTTGAAGTGAAATTTGACCAAAACTGTTTTAAAATTTCCGCGATAAATTTAGTGATTATTGATCTTTATAGTACTTTCCTTAATAACATTGATTTTCAGAAAATTCCCTTTTCATTTAATGATGTTTTATCACGAATCAAAAACAGATTAAATAATAAAAGAAAAAAAATATGCAGGGCAAGGTTGGCCATCCCTAGGCGTAAGACGGCCACATGGAATATATTCAATGTCCTGGCCATATAAAAGGTTACTGTCTTCGGCAAAATTGCACAGTAGGTCAAGGCGGATAGAGAGCAGTAGTACGGAATTTTCTAAATATGCGGCGCTAATGTGCAAGTAAATTTCCTGTATAAAATATATCTTGAGATCTTAACTATTTCGAATGTTTTTTTCCTTTTGTAGTTTGAGAAACTAGCCTGATGCTCACAATATTTCTCATCAAATTTTGAAGCTTCTCTAAACATGTTCGGACTTACTAAAGTTTCCTCAATTTTCCTTCTATATCTTCTCTACAGTTTTAACAACTCGCAGAAGTTTTCGAAGCTTCTTTATCATTTATGAAACTTCTCTAATGTTAACGGAACCGCTCTGAGTTTCTCTGTTCTATCCTAAAGTTCTCGAAACTTCTGTAAAGCTTTTGCAGTTCTCATGAAGCTCAACAAGCTAGTACAACAAACTGCCAAGAATTTCATTGAACTGTCCTAAAAATGTATAAGCTTCCGTGAACTTCTGAATTTAAGTGAATACCTTAATAATTTTCTCAACATCTCTGAACAGGTTGATCATAAAGTATTAAAAAGTACTCCAGTACTTATGAATCTAGGGGCACAATCGTAAAAGTGGAGTTCATTCCTAGCAGAGGACAACATTGATGATCAAGAACTTGATGAAGGAAACACTTCTGGCCAATTACCAACCGGGATCAGCACCGCGGTCGACTCCTTTGCAGCAGCAATTAGTGACAAATCAACGTTCATTGCTATCCGTGCGTCTGCCGAAAAAGCTAGAAGAGTACATCTGCTACTACCCAAAAGGGGGAGATGCTACCAAGGCATCGAGTTACCCTTGGAAGACCGCGCCGCTTGGAGAAGAAAAATAAAGTTAATTCCTGTATTTGTGTTGTAGTAAGGCTTGAATAAAACTTTTATTCTGTCTCTGTACTACGTCATAACCAGACGTGTTTCAATTACGATCTAGAAACCTTTAGGTTATGGGTCCACCTCGGGGTCCACACAGGCACCATAGCGACGAGTAAAACAAGAGAGAAATTTTATACACTGAAGATTTTGAAAAAGTTTCCAAGATGTCTCAAATCCAGGCCGATGCCGGAGCTGGAACCGGAGGACATGCCGGAGCTGAAACCGGAAGACAATCTGGAGGTGGAGCGACCTCGTGGTCGAGAAAACTATTATTCGTGGGCATTCGCGACCAAAATGATGCTAATCCGTAAGGGAACGTGGGACGCAGTGAATTCACCATTTCGATCCGTAGAACGCACAATCACTGAAGGCATTAGCCACAATTTCCCTGAGCATCGAATCCATCAACTATAGCTTGGTGCAATCAGCGAATACAGCGAAGCAAGCATGGGACAACCTCAAGAACGCTTTCTTCTTCTTCTTTCATTTATTTAACGTCGGTCTCTGTTCCGCAATCTAGTGCCAATCACCGACGGACATCGATTGCCATCCATTGACGGCAATCGAATTTCCAGGAAGGCAGCTTCCACAGCTGCGTAGGATTCGCACCCATTCAAACACACATGGGCCGGGAGCAACGGATTTACTTCTCTTCCGAAGGAAGACGTGACCGGAGATTTTTGTGCCTCAGAAAAATCTTACCGACCTCGGGTGGGATTGAACCCAGACCCATTGGTGTGGGTAAGCAGTCACGCTTACCACTACACCACCTTCGCCGGCAAGAACGCTTTCCAGGACAATGGAATGACATGGCGAAGTTGATCCGTCTAGGCGACTACTCCACCGTGGAAGCGTACGTAAATGAGATGATGAGTACAAGTCATAAACTGAGCGATGCAGGATTCAAGCTTGATGACGTGTGGTTGGCAAGTCTACTGCTGATGTGACTCCCCGAGGTGTACGAACCGATGATAATGGGCCTCGAGGCGTCTGGAAGGAAGGTTTCCAACAATTCATTTTGGACACGGTACCCGCAACTACAACATCAAGCCACGCTGCAGCAACTGCGCTCAAGAACACGCCACTTCCAACTGCCCTGCGGATGGAGCCGTGGCGTTAAAATGCGCCAACTGTGGTGGTGTTCATCACGGTTTCGACAGACAGTGCTCCAAACGCGAGGACTTCAAACGCATCCGAAAACAGGTCGCAACTAACAACCAACCAGGACGCAAGAAGGACAAAGTCCCGGCATTTCGGACGGAGGATTTCCCACCTCTTCGTGCTCCTCAGCAAAGGCAAACGAATTCGCGGGTGCATCCCGCTCAGGCAACTTCTGGTGATTCTGCTGGCCAAAGCTCTTCATCCCCCCCCCCCTGGATTCTGGAGACAACCAACAGCGCAAAACAACAACCCCGATCTTTTCTCAGCGGATGAACTGATGGAAATTTTCGTCAACATGTCCGGTGCTCTTCGTAAGTGCCGCAATAAGCCCGAACAGATCCAAGTGCTCGGTAAGTTCATCATCCAGTATGGCGTCTAAACCGCTAACTATCGTCACCTGGAATGCTTGCTTTGTGAGAGCAAAAAAGATTGAGCTTGCCGACTTCCTCCGCAAGCACAGCATCGACGTGGGCCTTCTAACCGAGACCCATCTAAAGTCCGGCGACAGCTTCTGGTTGCCTGACCACAACATTATCCGGCTTGATCGCACCAGCTCCAGGGGGGGTGGTGTTGCGGTCGTCGTCAAGAAAGGAATAAAATACCACACTCTGTCTCATATCCGCACCTCTATCATCGAGGCCCTTGGTGTGGAGGTGGAGTCTTCGACTGGATACGTCCAGTTCATCGCCGTCTACTGCCCTCGACAGTGTGCCGCCAGCAGTGGACTAGCGGCTAAATTCAAGAAGGACCTGTCTTCCATCACCCGTACCGATTCCCGCTTCGTAGTTGGAGGAGATCTGAATGCTCGCCATGAGGCCTGGCGGAACTACCAGCAGAACCAGAACGGTCGTCTGCTGTTCGACCACTCACAGCATGGGCTGTACTCCGTTTGGTTTTCGGATGAACCAACATTTATCTCACCGGCGGGCAACCCATCGACGCTAGACCTGTTCCAGACAAATATCGGCTTGTCCAAGCCGGTAGCCTTGAACGAACTCAGCTCCGACCACCAACCGGTGGTGGCTGAACTGGGCTGCCACGTGGCTCCTGCTTTAAGCATGCGCACGCTGAGTAGATAGAAAGAAGATTGATGATGATTCTGAAGATTTCCTGCAAAAAGATGATGCTCGATGCAAGTAGATGCGACAAATGAAAGAAGATTTTTCGATCGCTAGTGTGAGATTTGTTGAGCATCTTAACTTGAGATTTAGATGTGTCGCCCCCCTCGCGCAAGGACTACCATCGCGTAAACTGGGCCCAGTTTGGACGCGTGGTAGACAGGCACACCATCGACAACCCGCCGCTTGACACCGTGGAGGACATCGACCGAGCGTTGGAAGGACTCCACCAAGCCATAACCGTGGCTGACGAGGCGTGTGTCCGACGAGTTCCTGTGAGGGGTAAGTTTATTGCCATTGATTCCCACACCCAACTTTTGATTCGTCTGAGAAATGTTCGTAGACGCCAGTTTCAGAGGACTGGCTATCTGGGCAAAAAACGTGAAATGGCCGATCTGAACAGGCAGATTGCTTGCAGAATGGACTCACTCCGAAATGAAAGTTTCGGGCGTGTTGTCCAGAATCTGGACGACCGCTCCAGACCATTCTGGAAGGTAACCAAGGTCCTGAAAACTCATCCCAAACCCATTCCACCTCGCAGAGTCGAAAATGATGACGATCGGCTTTTTTCACCCCACAGGAGAAAGCAAATACGATCGGCGAGCATGTCGCTTCATCGCATTTGCTTGGCTCGAATACTCAAAGTCCGCTCGAAGATCAGGTTGCGCAATGCGTTCAAAACCTTGATGCCTCCCCTTGTGTCGTGCCTCCGGCGGATATGATTACAGTACAACAGATTTGCTCAGTGCTGAAATGCACCAAGAACATGAAGGCTTCCGGGTTTGACGGTATATTCATCTTGATCTTAAAGAGACTCAGCATGAAAGTGCAGTCTCTTCTTAACGCTATCTTCAACAGACGCTTGGACCTGCACTACTTTCCAAGCATCTGGAAAGTAGCAAAAGTTATACCTATCCGCAAGCCCGGTAAGGATTCAACATTGCCTTCAAGCTACAGACCAATCAGCCTCCTTTCAGCGCTGAGCAAATTGTTCGAGAAACTCATTCTCAATCGTTTGCACAAGTTTGTCGAGGAAAATAACATTCTCCAACCGGAACAGTTTAGGTTTAGGAAGGGGCATTCCACAAATCACCAGCTAGTACGGGTGATGAATAACATCCGAAGTAACAAAGCCGTTTGATAATGTCTGGCACAATGGGCTTGTATACAAGCTTTGTAACTTCAACTTTCCATTACATCTGGTTAAAATCACCCGTAACTACCTCCAGCAAAGGTCGTTTAAGGTATCGTTGAATGGTTGTCTTTCAGACACGTTTTCCATCCCAGCAGGAGTCCCGCTAGGCAGTCTGCTGGGCCCCTTGCTTTACAGCATTTACACTTCCGACATTCCTCCACTCGGTGGCGGTTGCGTGTTTTTCCTGTTCGCAGATGATACCGCAATAGCCGTCAAAGGAAGGATGCCTCGCGAAATAACGAACAAACTTCAACGATGCCTTAACGTCT